TAGGCAGCACTCACATTCTTATCCTAGTGACTTTGAGCCTAGCATTGCATCATGAATCAATTCCAGCTTTACACACTCTAGATCCAGCCGATGACCACATGAGGCTTTGGAGGGACATCTAGACCCAAACCATAACAGCAGGAAGGTCTGCTCCATGAATAGTGAGGGTTTTTTGTATTTATACAATGTTGATTTCATTTAAGTTACAATTAGATTTTTGCACTAAGAAAGAAGTTTTGAATGTGCGTGATAACTGCTAAGAAATCTTAGCTCATCATAAATGATTCAAAATTTCAACAATATAATTATTTAAAATCCTGTCAAAGTTTTACAGTAAAAATATTATTTTAAATGTAGCCTAAGATATATTTAATTATATTTGATGAAATATATCCAAAGGTAGGATCCTGTCAAATTGTTAAGTAAGCCCTGACAAGGACTCACTCCCAATCTCTAGCATTTCCTGGAGTCTTCTATTTGGCACCAATTTACCTGATCCTGAATGAACAGAGGTGGGAGAGAAAGAGGTAAGTTGTCACATAAGCACATAGGACCAGAACTCTGTACAACTGCAATGGTTGTGTCATGGAATAAACATCACCTTCATCCTCAGGAATAAATACAAGAGGAGAAGAAGTTTAGGATACTTGGAAAGTAGTGACTTATAGACAAGGGTTAGGAAACATGACCCCTGAAGGATGTGGCCTGGAGTCAGAGCTTCTGTCACCAGGACCTGAGGGAGATCTCTGGAGGAATATAAAGAGGGTTGAAACTCAGGCTCCAGGAGCAGCTATGAGTTGTATTTCATTAAGAACAGGAAAGGGGGAGCTTTATGACAGGCAAAGAGAGTGTCAGGAACTAGTGCATGTGGTATTTATGGAAAGGGAGAGGTCCTCAGAGGCTGCCAGTCAAAATAGTTCCTTTTGAAAAAACTGGAAAAGTACACTAGCAGAGTTGGGTGTTGTGATGCGCACCTGTACTCCCAGAACTTGGGAGGCTGAGGCAGGAGAATCCCTGAGAGTTAAAGGCCAGCCTGGGCTACATAGTGAGTTCAAGACCAGCCTGAACTACTTAGTGTGACTCTATTTCAAAAAACCAACCAACCAACCAACCAAACAAACAAACAAACCCCAAAACAACAACCATTTATTCATAAATAATGTGCTCCTTTGTTCAACAAATTTTTGAGCCAGACCATGAGTTAGGTACTGGGGCTTTATAGCAGAGAATAAGCCAGAGTTGTTCTGCCCAGATGGAACTCCCCAAATAGTGGAAACTATATGCTGCACATGGCTTTCCCATGGCTCATCAGCCATTTAATGTTTTCAGCAATGCTGGGAGCTAGGATTCCTGTGCACACTTTTGTGGCTGAAGAAGCTCGATCCCAGAAGAATTAAAATCTTGGGCCAGGATTCAAATGCAGTGTCTTCTGAGTCCAACTCCATGTCCAGCTTCACATCAGCTGAGATTGCATATTTCTGTTTCATGATTCCCCACCTCTCTCATTAAGTAAACTTCTGAGTTAAACTCTGTGAATGGCCTTAGGCCTGCCCCTGGAACACTGGGACAAAAGGGATGCAGAAAGAAAAAAAATATGTGGAGAAAAAGAGGGGAGAATTAGAAAAAAAGCTCTAGACAAGAGGAGCAAAGAGAATTTAGTGGAAGATGGATTCTTAACATCTTATTCCAATCCCAGTTTTATAGAACCTTAGATACATATTACCTAGCAGCAATTTTCAAATGGGAGCACACATGGATGGTTGTCCATTGTTAAAATCTGTTTGCTGAAATACTCATTCAAGAATTATTTCAATTGATACCTAAAATGCTTTTAGAACTAAAATGGTATTTTAAGTAGCTTAATTACAAGGTTTTGCACAGTGGTAAACACTATTTTAAAGTAACAATTATTTGTGGGGAGAATTGGTTCCAAGACCCACCTCAAATACCCAAATCCATGGTCTCTCAAATCCTACTATAAAATTGAGCAGTATTTCTACATAACCAATGCATATCCTCCTGTAAATCATCTCTAGATTACTTATACCTAAAACAATGTTAATACTATGGAAATAGTTATTATACTGTATTGTTTAGAGAATATGCACAAAGGAAAAAGTCTATACATGTTCAGTACAAATGCATTTTTTTCTTCAAATATTTTTGATCCTCAGTTGGTTAAATTCATAGATATGGAACCCATGAATATGGAGATTCAACTGTAGATAGTATATTTGAATTTCATTTCTTTAAAACAGTGATTGGCAGTGACTGAGTTCATGTGGGAGACAGAAGGAAATAAAGTATTTCATAACATTTGGTAACATCATGTTGTCATTATGCAAAACACTTGAAGGAGCTAAAAATAAAGGGAACGAATATGACCTTCTCTAACAAAGTACAGTACCAATATATATTCTCTGTGTTGGTATGGTGCTAGGGATTGAATGCAGTGCCTCATGAATGCTAGAAAAATGCTCAGCCACTGAGCTACACCCCTTCTAGGTTTATTTTTCCCAAATAAACCTAGAAAAAAAATGCTCTGCATTTAAAGAAACTTTACTGTGTACATACCAGTGCTGTTCAACAGAAATGCAACATGAGCAACATTTATCACTTTGAATTTTCTAGCAGTCACATTAGAAAAGTGAAACATAATAGGGAGATTGATTTTAATATATTTTATTAAATACATCCAAGATATTATGATTACATATAATGTGCATGTTCACATTAGTACAACATTTTATATTCTTTTTTATACCAAGTCACTGAAATCTGCTGTGTATATCACACATCGATTTGGACACAAAATTTTCATCAGAAATACTTGATCTATATTTAGATTTCATAAAATTTACAATTGAAAAATTAAGTGTGGGTACTCAGGTTGTCCCTAACATACTTAAAATGTTTCCTAATAACTGAACCAACAATCAGGTTTTAAAAGGAACTTAAATAAAATTTAAAACTCAGGCCCTCAATCACAGTGGCCACATTTCAAGCATTCAGCCATATGTGGTTAGTGCTACCATATTGGATAGAGCTGGAGGAAGCTTTCCATTGTTGCAGAAAGTTCTATTGGATATGCAGGTCTGTTAACTGGTGAAGCCATGTTTTCATCAGCATCTCTTTGGAAGATGTCACCCTTCAAGGTGACAGGAACTCTTAATCACAACAGCCTCCTTATTTCCATTTAATAACTCTAAACTCAGGCAGCAGCCTTTTGATACTGTTTTGGTTTCCCAAGAACACTTTCCTACTGTGGAAAAAATGAGCTTACCTGCTGAGATAAATACCTAGTCTACTCAGCTATTCCATTTCTCTCTTTCCATGAATAAAGATGAATTTTGAATCCTCGTCCTAGCATATCCCTGAGTGAACTGTCAACATTGAAGTACTGCCACCTTGTGAGGCCTTACAGGAACCAGCAGGTCCCCACAACATTATGGCTGGCAGCACCTATCTGTGAAGGGCAAACATTGATTTGTCGGGTCTGACAATAGTAATTACAAAATTGAACAAGCCTCCCAGTCCAAGGAGCCTCCTGTCTGCTCCTCTTCTTCAGGGTCCCTACTTACAAAGGAAGATTCTGACAAAAAAGAAGATCCTGTGGAATTGGAGGGTCTGGCCCAGTGGGTGGGTCACCAGGCCCCTGCTGGCCAGCTGTTGGGTATCCGCCCTCCAGTCCTTCTCCCCCTCTTCCATTCTACATGTTCCTGCCATTTAGCTCTAAGATGATCAAGATTTCTCTCTCTCTCTTTCTTTCTCATCTTTGTAAATTTTTCTGGAAATTAATTTTACCCTCAGGTCAACTCTGGGCAATGAATGATGTTCACACTCTGATTTAACTTTTGCAGACTTTCTTCTACCCTAATCTCATCTGATATTTTAATATAACAATTATGAATGGAACCAAGACTATTTACTTTCCCACTAGAAAAATGAGCTCCTTGGAAGTGGGTACCAGATGTCTGGCATTTTAATTTTAATCTATAAAATTTACTTCTTGATTTTTTCATTCATTCTTTTCAGTAACACAAGAGTTTGTTGCCCTTTAAAAATAATTGCTAATATCAGTGGAGCATTTACTAAATGCTAAGCACTTTACATTAATTCTCTCATTTACTTCTCATAACTACACTACGAGGTAGAGAGCACTTGCATCATTTTGCAGATCAGAAAACAAGAGCTCAGAGGGGTGAAAGAATGTACCCAAGGTTACACAAGGTTAAGAAGCAGTCAGGAGCTAAACTCAAATATGTAGTCCTAATCTAGAATTTAGCTGGTATATATCCCAGCTTTCTTAGGATGATTTGCCATTGCTTATCTACGTTTTAATTTCCCGGGGAATTTATGCTCAGTCCAGGAGATAAAGGCAGACCCTGCCAAACACTTTCTGTGCTTCTTCTCTGCAACAAAATTCGTTGTCAAGGCAGCTAACAAATCCACTTGACCCACAGATAATCAGGCCGCAGGGAGCTAACGCTATCTGAAGCTATGCTCTGGAGCTCTGGGGTTCAAAATCTCAGCATTCAATCTGGTTGTGCCCATCAGCCCGCCCTCGTTACATTTCCCGTCGCCCCACCCCAGGTTTTTGGCAGTTTGAAGGCTCAGCGGAAGGGGCAGACAGGGAGGAAGCCCCCGGCGGAAGCCAGTTCTCCCAGGGGTGGATGAGCCTCATTTTACACCGGACAGAGAGAAAATGGTCCTCAGAGGGGTGAATTATGCTCAAGGACATAAAATGAGTTACTTTCCGTTCAGCGTTACCGGATTTATCACATTAAGAATACAGTAGTAATGTCTGAGTCCGCGAGGAAACACCACGACCGAATGGGTGGCCTACCCGAAAGGAGCCGTTTCCCTCCTCGGTCAGGTCCCAGGCCAGGCCCAAACCCGTCCCGCCCCGCCCCCCAACCATGGCCCCGCCCCTAATGGTAAAGAAGCCTCAGCCAATCCGACAGCTGCGCCCCGGCGGCAGGGACGTGCCCCGCCCCTCAGGCGCGGGATTCAAACTCCCGGAAGGGGCGTCCGCCCCGGAGGGTGTGGAGAGGCGACGCGAGTGCAGAGCTTCACCTTCTTGCCGACTGGCGGCCAGGCGCAGCGGCCGCGGAGGGTGGCGACCGGGCGTCCAGTGGCGGCTGCACCCGGGCGGGACCGGACCGGAACACGCGCGACGCGGACTCGGTGGGCTGGGCGCGGCCGCCGGACTCAGTCTCATGCCCCTTTCCCTGACGCTCGCTTCGTGCCTGGTACCCGGCTGGGCGCTTTTCCACCGTTGTCTCTTCAGTTCCTTCTTTTGACTTTGCGGTGCGTATTATTACCTACTTAGAGAGAGGCCAAGTGATTTGGATGAAGTCTTTCGTTAGTACGTCTTTTGTCCATTAGCATGCGTTATTTCATATCCCTTCTACCAACGTCTTCATTTTAGAGATGAGAATACAATCGCCTCTTTTTGCAGTTTGTTTTTTCCTGTCTCTGCCCACATGAGCTCTTAGGTGAAGGGTAACGTAACTTGCCGCTCCTTGTGGAATACACCCGTGGTAGACGCCCTGTGCAGTTTACGGGATTGGAATGCTCCTTTGATTGCCTCTGTCCACCTTGACTTGAGTCACTTCAACCAATCAACAGATGCTTTCTCAGCGCTGCGAATTATAGAAAACTTAGTACAGCCTCTAAAACAATCGTTGGCTGACCGGAAAAAAAATAAAAGGTTGGGGGCCGTTATAATTTATTACGAGATCGGAGGGGCATTGTATCCCTTCTTAAAGTTCACAGAGGGAAGGCTTCTTGAAGATGCCACTGGGAAGGTCTGACCAGGGGAACCCTCTAGAATAACAAATACAGGGAAAGGAGGTTGGTAGGACTAGGTGTTGGGCCAGAGGATGGAAACAGTCTTTCACCACAGGCGTTTCTAAAGGTTTAGAAGCAAATGCCCTGATTTATTTCAAGTTCTGCTGATCTATATTTCCACTGTTTTGTCTGTCTCAGCAACTTGGTACTGTCTTGTCAACCCAGTATATCAGCTCCACAGTGTGAAACCAACCAAGCATTAAGAAGGAACTTCCTGGGCCGGGGATTTAGCTCAGTGGTTCCGCCACCTGCAAGCGCAAGGACCCAAGTTCGATCCCCGGTACAAAAGAAAAAGAGACTGCACTTCCTATGCAACAGATTCCAGAGACACCTTGCATTTGCCTTAAGGTAGATTTACTAGCTACCTTAATCTTTGACCTTATAATAGGCAAAAATCCGGGACCAAACTTTTGATACATGGTTTGTTCAACTCAGTCTACACAGTTCTAATATTTTTAAAGCTTTCTGATTGCACACAGGACAACCTTACAAGTCACTCCCCACCACCTTAAGTAATTGTCCTGTTTTCACTGGTGTCTTTATCACTACTCTGTTTATTTCCTATAGGGTATTTATTACAATTTGAGAACCCACAAATCTGTTTTCGTGTTACTGCTTGCCTCTTCTACTACACTGAAAGCTCCTTAAAATGTCAAGGAACATGTCAACCCCTGTGTGTGTGTTTGTGTGTGTATGTGTGTGTGTGTGTGTGTCCATACTGGGGATCAAACCTGGGCCTTCAGCGTGCTAGGCAAGCACTCTTCCGCTGAGTTACACCCCATATCTTTTATATTTTATTCTTCCACACTCTTGCTAAGGTGTCCAGGATGGCCTTGAACTTGTGATTCCCCTGCCCCAGCCTCCCAAGTAGCTAGGATTACAGTTTTGTTTGTTTTTTGTTAAACAGCACCTATCAGGGTTCTTGGTAAATAGTATGAATGCATTAGTGGTCTCATACCATCTAGATTTTTTAATCACACCACTATCGTTTTATCTCCGGATGCAAAGTGGAAAAATGCTTTTTTGGCTTCTCTAATGAGAGCTACTTTTATATACAATTTTCTATTTTATTTATTATGTACAGTACATTTCACTATATACCTTCTAGTTTTTGTTATATACTTGCTTCTAAACTGTCATCGAGTACTGTTAGCAGGTAGTAACCTTCTCCTTATTTAATTTGGCCTCTTTTTAAAACTTCTTTTCATTCCCCAATCCCCTGTATATTGTGGTTGTTTTCCTCCAAATATCTCATCTTGGATTTTCCTTATTTCCTCTGTCTTCTCTCAAATGACTATTAAGATTGAGCTGAATTAGGCGTATCTTCTAAAACAGAGGATATACCATTATATTTGTTAATGAATTTTGATGCCGATACTCAGATTATTTACCACCAGCTTTTTATTCTTGGATAAGATATATCCTTGATTGTGACCTACTTCTTTCAGATTTTATTTAATAGTTGGAGATTGCTCTGTTGTATTTTAAACAAAAAATTTTTACTAAACTATAATACACATACAGAACTATGCACAAAACATAATGCAAGTTGACGTACTTCTCAAAAGCAAATACTACTCATGTATCCACCTCCTGAGATTTTTGTTCTTTTATGGTACTGGGGATTGAACCCAGGGACACTGAGCTACACCCCCATACCTTTTTATTTTGAGACAGGGTTTTGCTAAGTTGCTCATGCTGGTCTTGAACTTTTGATCTTCCTGCTTCAGCCTCCTGTGTATCTGGGATACAGAGGACCATGCCTCGCTCCACTTGAGATTCTTTAAGGAGTTATTACAGTGCACCAGAAGCCTTCCTTGATCTTTCTTGTGTAACCCACTGAATGTACCAGTTCTATGTAGAGCAGAATCGGTTATTAGGCCCATTTCAAACCTGAGATTTAAAGTTTTAAACTCAGATTTAAAATAGTTGATTTTTATTTTTACAGATCATTTCAGAGATGTCTTCCAGAAGTTCTAAAGATTTAATGAAGAGTAAGTGGGGATCAAAGCCTAGTAATACCAAATCAGAAACTGCATTAGAGAAACTGAAAGGAGCAGTGGATGAACTCACAAGTGGAAAAGGAAAACTTACTGAAAAAGACAGACACAGACTTTTGGAGGTAAATGATCTTTAACCCTTTAAATTGAAGTAAGCTTTCTTAGAAGACAATGTGCTAAATTTCTTGATCCTGCTTCTTACTCTTGTCATTATCCTTGTCCTATCTAGTTCATTACTTGGGGAAGTTAAATTTAAACTTGGAATCCTAAATTCCTACTTTGACTTTGCCAGCCTTTAGATATACTTTAGTCACTGCTAACTTCTCTCACTTTTTAAATAAAATTGAGTATGTGTTTTAAGGTTACCAGATATTAAGTTTTTTTCAGAAATAAATACATCTTAGTGAGGTGTGGTGGTGCACAGCTGTAATTTCAGCTGCTTTGGAGGCTGAGGCAGGAGGATTTTAAGTTTGAAGCGAGCCTACGCAATTTAACAAGACTCTCTCAAGATTTAAAAGGCTGGGGATATAGCTTAGTGGTAGAATACCCCTGGGTTAGATCCCTAGTACTAAAAAAGAAAGAAAGGCAGTGGAAGAGGAAGGAAAGAAAAAAAAATACATCTTGATTAATACTTCTGTACCTTCAGTGCAGTACTATAGTCTGTTTTTCAGTTATTTAAAACAATAATCTAATTTATCATTCCTCCTGTACTTTTTGATAACTTTAGCTTCATTACTTGAACATTATCGATAAATTCTGCTATGGCATGTCTTAGTCTGGTTTTTATTGCTGTAACAATGCCTCAGACTGGCTAATTTAAAAAGAAAGGATATTTAGCTTTGATTCTGGAGGCTGCTGCTTCTGGTGAGGGTCTTCATGCTGCATCACAGCATGGTGGAAGGGCAAGCATACACATGAGGTAGAGAATGAGAAAGGAAGAGAGGGAGGGAGGGAGGGAGAGAGAGAGAGAAAACACAGGGGCTACATTCACTTTTATAATAGCCCACTCATGATAACTGACCCAATCTCCTGATAAATCACATCAACCCACTCATGAGGGCTCCTCCCTTATGAGGCAGTCGCTTCTTACTAGGTCCCCTCTTCCAGCATTGCTGCAGTAAGGATTAAGGGAATTTGAGAGGACACGTTCAAACCACAACATGCTGTATTTAAGATCCTAAAACATACTAATTTACCATTTTCACTGTTTTTTTTTTTTAGTTTACTGCATAACTTAAAAGTGTCCTATTTCTGTGCTTCTTGGAATACTATAATGTTCATTGAGGTGTACTTTAAAGATACTGTGCTATATTTCTTTTGTTTGTTTGTTTGTTTGTTTGTTTTAAACAGAGCCTCTCTGTATAGTTCAGGCTGGCCTTGAACTCACTATGTAGCCCAGGCTGGCCTTGAACTCATGGTGATCCTCCTGCCTCAGCCTCCTGAGTGCTGGGATTACAGGCGTGCATCAACACGCCCAGCTGTGTGCCATTATTCTTAAACCTCTTTTTTAATGTAGAGGAGAAGAAAGTATTTAGCTAATGATTATATAATACAGTTTTTCTGTTACTTCACTAAATGTCAAAAATTATATCTAATCACTTAAAATATCTTAAATCCTCTGTCCATTTCTGAGGGGAAATAGTGGTCAGATTTTCTTGTAACCATCTCAGGGTGTAACCATCTCAGGTGTGTGTGTGTCCTTATAAATGTTTAAAAAAAACAAAAAACCTCATTTTATCATGCATATTGGCTGCTTTCCAAGTAATCTGTGTTTTCAGGCTTTTTGAGGTAAAATAATTATATATATTAGTATTTTGCATGCTGTTAAACTTTCAGATTCCCTGATTTATAGTTTGTTATAGTATAGATAGTAAAGAAATTAGTAACTTATTAGAACTGGAAGGATTTAAAAGTTTCAAATATAAGTTTGGTTTTGCAAAAATGCTTTTATTGTTCATAAAGAGTATTATCATTAGATTTCCTTAAATTCCATCTATAGGAACATCATAAAGCTGAATGATTTAGCTTTAAACAACGTGAATTGAAATATTTAAGCATTGAGAAATGAACAATCATCATCAATTCATAGACATAAAAGTTATTTTGCAATCTGTTAAAGGAATCTCACAGATTTTCTGAGAGATATCTTTCTAGTTCATTCCACCTTCCACAACCACTGCGTGCTTTGAGCCTTTATAACTGATCAAAACTAAACTTTTATAGCTTCTGCCCATTTATTCTAATTGTGCCCACTGAGCTACAGAGAACAAGGCTTTCTCATTCAAACTGACAGTTTCTCAGATATTTGAGGAAATCTTGCTTCCTGTTGTAAACCTGATATTCTTTAGCTTCTCTGGCATCTCATCCTCAGCACTTTGTGGTTTGTCTTTTATTCCTCCTAAGTTGTGCACCCAAAAGTGAATACTGCTCCGCAAATTCTGTGGTTTTGTATCCATATTCTACTACTGATTTGATTTAAGCTTGTGGCCAACTAAAATCCCCTTTTCATTTTTCATATTAACAGTCATTCACCTAAACTTTAATTTCTCCATGATTATTTGTACAACTACTTTTTTTCTTCCCTAAATGCAAGACTTAGCTTATATTGTTTTGACTCTGTTAGCCTAATGATTATTACTATCGTCTTTCTCTTGGCTTTTTTCCCTTACCCCAGCAGTAGTGTAACAAGCAGTATGTACTTACCTTGCAAATCTTGGAAAAAATGTTAAACACTCCTGTAAAGATTACCTTCCATATGCCATACCAAATCATTTATTAACAAGAAGCAGGTTAATGAATGCATCTTTTTCCTGCTGTGATGTTCTGTACATTTTAATCTCTGTTGGTTTGAGCTCACTAAAGAACATGTATGTATGTCTTGTGGGACTCACTTTTAGCCTTTAGGTTTATAAGATCCAGTATGATGGAGGACAGAGTCTCAAATACTCATGAGAGCCACACTTCTTTAGCTTTCTGTCTTTGCCTTTAATAAAGATGGTTTCTCCTTTCTCTGTGTCTCTGACCATTCAATGTGGATGTATGCATGTGAGTTGAGTATAACATTAATATATTGGCTTCTCTTTCTCTGAGCTGGCTGATTGTAGAAGTTGGCTTCATCTTTTAGGCCGAGGTATCATAAAACCAACATGATATCAAATAAACACTCCATAAATGCTTTTTGAAGTATATTGTTTAGCTGGATGTTTGGCTTGGCTTTGTTCTGAGATTCATCTTAGTTTATATCTAGAAAATTCAAGTTCTTCAATATGAAAGGGAGAAGAATGTTTATCACCTCACAGAGAAGGAAAAAGAAATACAGCGACTCAGAGACCAGCTAAAGGCTCGATACAGTACCACTGCCTTGCTTGAACAGTTGGAAGAGAAAACGAAGGAAGGTGACAGGATGGAACAGTTGTTGAAATCCTTATCTGAAGAGACAGATTCATTGAAGAAACAGTTGTCTGCTGCAATGGCAAGACTTCGTGAATTTGAAAACCAAGCCAGTACACTTCATTTATCACAGGTGCTAATAGTTTATTCAAACTGAGATTTTTTTCTTTCTAACACAATTTATAATTCTTGTGGTGAATGAGTTTGTCAAAGCATGTTTACCAAATGAGTCAGAATAGTAAACTTACAGGCCACTTACTTTTTTTTTCCCAGTCCCTTCTCCACAAGCAAAAATAATTAATGTGGTTCCCTCTAATCCTACTCCATTGTTTTACCCAGAAGACTATTCAGAAGGCAGAGTCTACTTTATATCTACAATAGGCACGATTTGTTGAACTCCTGTTTCTCATTTGTATCATGAGGACACTAGGCTTTTTGGGTTTTTTATATTTGGAATACATAATCATAATATCAAGTATACTTTTCCTAGCTGTACGTGCATTTCCCCCCTCTTTTATTTGAGAGACACTAGTGTAGCAGAGTGCATAGCTTTGGAAGTAAAAGATAGATCTGGGTCCAGGTCTTGGTTTTGCCACTTGATAGCTGTGTAACTGTGGATTCTTTAACTCCAGCCTTAGAGACAATGCTAGAGTTCACCAGACCTTTTTTCCTGAACCTCAGTTTCCACATTAGTAAAATCTGGATAAGAATACTTATGACTAAATGTGATAATATTTGTAAGTGGCCTAGCATAATGTCTGGCACATACTAAATACTCTGTAAATGGTTATTTATTGATCAACCTTTGATTCTGTTGGATATTTGGACATTTGAATAATACTAACCCAGCCACAAACACCACCTATAGAAGATAATCTGAGCCTTCCAAATATACTATCTTAGTGCTGTTAGTGGTATCTTTATGCTTTTTGTCCCCTTTGGGGTAGGCACAGTGATCATATCTGTACATTTACAGGTATTTCCATAGATAGGCAAGTTAAGTATTTCTACAGATGAGTTCAAAGAGGCAAAGATTTTCTAGAGAATTTCCATAGAGCTGAAATCATAAAACATTACAGTCAGATCCCAGTGGTTAACTAAAATCTTTCTTTGAAGTTCAAGGGTTAGTTTCTCCACTTTTAATGTGAACTACAAATCTTAGTAAAAATTACTATTTTTAAAGATATATTCTTCTATTTTTGTAGATTACCCAGCGTTGATCTTTGCTCATTGCATGATCAACTGCTGTAACAAACTACCTTAAAATCTCAGCATCTTAACACAAGAACTGTTGGTTTTTCCTCAGGTCACAGACTGGTGCTGGTTGGGTGGAGGAAACATTGCTCTACAGAGTCAGAGACCCAGGGCACTTCCTTCTGGAAGCTCCACCATCCTTTAAGGTGGAGTCTTCACTAGATGCCCTATGTACAGATGTGAGACAGAAAGCATGTCGAGAACTAACTGCCTAGGAGGGCTTTGGAGTCAGGCCTGGGACTGGTATATGTTACTTCTCACATTAGACAGAAGTCAGGCACATGGCTCCACTGCCTACAGAGAAAACTAGGAAACTGTCCACAGCATATCTGAGGAGGAGGGGATCAGGAGGAGGGTGGTGTTTAGTGAAAACTCTGCCATACTTTCTATCTGGAGGACTAAATTGAAAGGGCTGTATATTAGCTTGAGTAAATAGAGAGTCTTTGGAGAAAAAAAAGTATTTTGGGCTTCCTTAGTCACATAAATCTCTTTCCGTATAGCTGATTTTAATAAAATCTGAAAAATAGCTGTTTTTGAGTTTGTTGGCTAGCCTGGACATAGGTATTTATGTCCCTTTTTTTTCCCATGAGAAAAACGAAGAAAAAAGGAGAGAAATTATGGTTTGAGTTCCATATAATCTTTATGAACTAATGCTTTACCAGTTGAGCATCCTAATCCAAATGCTCTAAAATAGGAAATGTAAATGAATTGTGTCTTTAGAGTTGAGTCCCATCTGCAAGAGATCTCATTATATACATGCAGATATTCCAAACTCTGAAATACAAAACACTTCTGGTCCAAGCAGTTTTAGGTAGATACTGAACTTATACTATATAAAATATAATTCTAGGAAAAAACCCTTTTTATCTTTTGTTTTATAGTTTATATTTTCCAGATTTCATTGAAATAGCCCAGTTGTTTGGTTTGGCTCCTTTTAGTTAAAAACCACTAGGCTCTTCTTGTATACTAAAGGCTATTCTGGTGATCCTGGGTCCAGATGATCTCAGAATCTCAGATCTGAAATCTCAAGAGCTTCCAGTTTGTTTAGGAAGCTTTCAGGGGATCTTAATTCTGATAGTGATCCTCTGGTAGCTATCCCCTGTACCAGATCTGGATTTGGGGATTTTCCTGAGAACATTTTGTATTTTTAAGGAATTAAATATCATACGGAAACTTTTACTGTTAAATGTATGGTATTAACTAATACTGGTTATTTACAGGCTGTGGCTGCAAGCTCATCAATGAGTAATGCTCATGAGTTGGAAATACAGCTGAAAGATGTAAGTTTATTTTTTCTTACATTATAAGTAAAGAGGACTAGTTTATTCTTAAATGTCATGGAAATTGGCAGCATTAGCGCTATGACTTGAGAAACAAAAAAATCTAGTGATGAGATAGGAGAATTGAGTGGTTTGTGATCATTGTGTAAGTCTCTTCCCAGGCGTTCAAGAGGACCATTTCCTCAAAGCATGGTCTCTGTTGTCCAGAAAGCCCTAGAAAACCACCTACCAGATACCTCAACAGAGTCTCTTGTTCACTAATGCTAATTTGTCCAGTTATTTTTATTGTAATGTAATTTCATTTATAGTTTTTCACTTTTTGTTTATCCATACAACATTTACCCTTTAGTTTGAAATCTTTGAATGAGGTTATTTTAGATATATGGTAAAGCTGTATTATTTCAAACTTAAGACTTAGGTGGATAGGTAGATTTGGTTGGGAATTGAATGACTCAGATTCAAAACTGCTATTCACCATATATTTTTTCAAATTTTTGTATTAGATTACAGTGGAAAGTTCTTGATTTAACCAAGTCAGTAGGTAGGAATTTTGATGACAGAAATCTCACTGGCCTTTACACTGATAAGCATGCTCTTAAGATGCTTACTTTACGCTATCTATCAAGTGTCTCTTGAGGTCTATTTGATCTTTAAGAGAAGAATCTAGATCTCTTGAGCATCTATGTCCAGGTGTAACATTACCTTTATCAAAGTGATTTATGTAGAGGTAGTGGAAGTAAAGATGCAACATGATTTTTTAAAAAATTATTAAAATAGGGGTTTTGTGTTGTATATTACACTACACTTCATTGTTTTATGTATGTTAGTATGTGTTAGATGTATATATTTATGGATAATTTGCCCTACACACCTCCTGTTTTCCCCTTTACCATGCTGGCTTTCCAGCTGCTTATTAAAGACATCACCTTTTCTCTTTGTGTTCCCTGTGCCTGGGACACTGCTCCTGCAGATACCTTCATGACTCCCAAACGGTACTCAGTTATTTACGTAAGTGTCACTTGCTTGGAGGGTGGCAAGAACAAGGGATTCCCTACCTACTCCATCTAAAATTATAGCTCTCAGACAATTCCTATTCCTCTTTCCTGCTTTTTCCCCCTTCATCAGATATTACTGTTAAATTTATAGTCTATTTTACTTATTTCTCTTGTTTATTGTCCTCTTCCATTATGAGAAGTTATATGAGGGGAGAGGTTTTTCATATTTAGTTCATTGCTGTCTCCCCAGTATCTAGAACATTTGAAAGAATGAATGGAATCTTAGGAAGTTTCTTGAGTTTCATTAGTGTCTCTTGTAGAAAAGAACCTCAAAGTAGATGCTGTTGTCTTAAAGTCATAAATAATTTTTAGGCTTTTGAGGGCTAACTGCTTCAAATAGCTAAAATTATTTTTAGATAATAACCATTCTTTCTGTAGAATTAACTTTGAAATATTACACTTTTATGCCCAATCTTCTTTTTGTTCTGTTTTATCTTCCTGGCTTATTTAAGGATCACACTCTGCTTCTCTGTTGGTTACCGTAGAAAGAATTTTAGTCAAATGCAGTAAAATTTAATCCAGCTCACCTTCAAATGGTTTCAGACTCAGTGTGTGAATCTGGGGAATCTTCTTAAAGTGCAGATCTGATTTGACAGTCTTGGATGGAGCCTGAGACTCTGCATTTCCAGCAAGCCCCCAGGTCACACTGCTACTAGTGCTGGTCGGGAACTACACTGGTCAGAGCACCATTAACTTATGTATGAGGAGCCAGAGGTGGTTTGACTCTGCTTTTATTTTCTAGATCTCAGTAAATCTGAGTCCAGGGAGAAAGTTGTATTTAGAGGACTTAGGGAAAGACACATCTGGCTCCTCAGTCCCCATACTGGCACTGGAACATGATTTGGCTTTTGAGATCTTACCAGTTCTGGTCCCATCACCCTCTTCAAGGTTCCCAGAAAACTTCCCGAGAAGCCTTGCCCACTTACTTTAAAAATCCCCATTTGTATATATATTTTTAAAACCCCTAAAAACCTATGTATACCTTTCTTAAGGCCTAATTATGTCACTCCTCAGATCTGACTGACATTTTGAAAGAAGTACCTGGAGTTGTTAATGCTGCAAACATGGCCAAGTATCAGTACTTTTAGTATTTAAGAATTATTTTAGCACAGACTAGATCAAGCCAAATAGCTAAAAGGTAGTTTAATAGGCATTTCTTGCTCTTAATTTTTAAAAATCTGATTTGTAAACATAGAATTTGGGAAAGATAAGTAGAATTTTATTTTTTTAACCTGGAAAAAAATCAAATTAACAGAAAAATTCCAAGAATGAGAATGGTACTAATAACGTCCATATGCCCTTTACCAAAATTGAATCATTATTAACATTTGTTCCATTTTGCATTCTTTTTCTCTCTTATACCCTTTACACACATTAATTTTTTCTGTGCTATTGGAGAGTGAGTTGTACATGTCCACAGCCTTTTAACTCTACATACTTCAGTGTATCTTTCCTAAGGGTGAGGATAATCTCTTACATGACTACAGCTCAGAGAGCAACCTCAGTAAATTTAACACGGACATGATAGTTATTAATTGACCCACTTTTTTTTATTCTTCCAGTATAATATATATATATGTATGTATATATATATATATATATATATATATATATAATGGCTAACTTTTTTTTTGAGATAGGGTTTCACTATATAGTCTAGGCTGGCCTTGAACTCACTATGTAGCCTAGGCTGTCCTCAAACTTATGGCAATCTTCCTACCTCAGCCTCCCAAGTGCTGGGATTACAGGCATGCACCACCACACCTGGCCCTTAGCTAACATTTTATTCTACAATTGGACTTTTACCCAGAGAATACTTAGTGGATCCCTATCAAAACAGGAGGGAAAACATTAGCAGCATTCTATAGGACTTTAGTACTTTTGTCCGTTTTGCATTTTTTTGATAACTTGGATGACAATGTCAAATGCATGCCTCACAAATGTTTACATGACACAAAGCTAGAAGAAATAACTAATGCCATCACTCTAAAGATTCAAAATTAATAGTGTCTGTTTATTGATAGGTATCCAATCTATTTATTGATGCTATTACAAAGGAAAAAGAACAGATGTATAGTCAGTGGGAAGACAGGAAAAAATGTGTTTTTGAAGTAACATTGCCATGGCCTTTTATAATATTACCTTTTAAATCTTAAACTAACATATATTTTTCTTTCTCAGATTTCAGAAAAGTATCCGTGATTTCTTTTAAAAGAAAAAAAAAAATCACTTACCACCCAATATTAAATTACTTGTTTTAAAGCACTTCTTAAATATGGGAAAATGCAAAATTTGGTATAAATTAGGTGTTTAGGCATCTAACACATTATAATTTATAGGTACTGTATTTGGATATACACGTGTTCTTTGAGTCCTACAATGCTGTCTCTCTTACCAACTAAATCTGAGCACAAACCCAACATCCTTGTGAATCTTTCTTTAAAGATGCTTCGAGAATGAACAAGAACCTCACTGGGGATAGTGGTGGATCTGATTGAGATAATCACTATGCACCCTACTGTGAAATAGGCCATGAATTTTAGCAATCTGCTCAGCTATACTAAGATCACAATGAAGTCAAGATGTGATTATTCATATTTCTTTGAGGCTATTTTTTTCCCAGCTTTCATTATGGTAAATTTCAAACATAGAAAAGTTGAAAGGAAGTACATCAAACAACTGCAGATCTATCACTTAAGATTCAGAGAGACATAGCTCAGTGGTGCCACCGCCTGCTCCGCAAGCACAAGGACCCGAGTTCGATCCCCGGTACCGAAAAAAAAAAAAAAGATTAAGAGAGACAGACTCTTTAAATACAGTTATGTCAATGAAGATAGTCATCCATGAAACTTTATTGAGGATATTATTCAGAGTGCATGTATGATATGTTTACCTTGATAAATGAACTGTTAAGCCACACTGTTATTGTTTCCTGATGAGTGCAGAGAGCAGAGTATCTGAACCAGTGGCTACAGGGCTCTGAACTGTCTTTGAATCCAGAAGCTGTATCTACCTTCTTAATCTATCTCCTAACTCTACAGAAAATAGACACTGAAAATCCTATAAGCCTCATACTGAGAAGCTTTGCTTGTGAGTTTGTAGGGTGCTTGTAGAGTCTCACAAAACTTGGAGAAACTCTCTAGACCTAAGAATTTCCATATATATAGCCCTTTAGGGGTATTAGGCTCAGCTGCCTGTGTTTTTAAAGGGTGGATGCTCTCACTAGAAAGTAGATATCCTAATGCACAACCAAAATCTTAAAGTTTCTTAGCTGTTCATGCTGTAGCTAGAGGTCTAGGCTCTCATCAAAGGAAATACTATATTCTATTTTCAGATTGAAATTAAAATAGAAGAATTTTGTCTGTGCGTGATAGCTTTAAGATTGAAAGGGTGATCTGTGTAATTCTCCGATACTTATTAATCTGAAATCTTGAAAAATGAAGTCTGTGGAATTGTTACAGGTCTTTGAGATACAACTTACTACAAGCCCTGGTATGTCCCATGGGATATAAATGAATCTGTTTCTGTCCCTGCTGTACAAAGCTGATGTTCTTTGGGGGGAATAAGTAGTACTAACTACTTATCCCACTTTACCTCTTTAGAGTGAGACCCAGCTTGTGGAGGAGGGCAACCACTCCTTTTTTGGTATTCCCACAACAAATGCAGGGTGGTTTTAAAAGAATTGAACACTTCTGGACATGCATTCCATTGTATATGTTTTATTTCCTTAAAATTATACCAGGCAACATTCTTGTCAAGAACCCTGTGTTTGTATCATCTCTTTACATCCTGAAAGATCTGAAATTACACATCATGATTGCCATGTGAACTTGATAATAGTAAAGTAAAACAGATTTGGGACAAATTATGACACAAGAACTACATATTAAACAGTTGTAAGATTATAGAAATAGTTATCACAGTTCCATTACAAAGGGGTTTATATTACATTCTCATGTATGGCTTGATCAGTAACTAATACATCTCAGTTAGGTCTATTAGGTGTTTGATTCTTTTTGAACTACTCTAAGTTTATTGTTCTACTGGGTGTGCAAAGCTGCTAGATTATTTTATAGCTTCTCTTTCCTTCTCTAAATGCTCTCCAACTTCACCTGGGGCAAAAGGTCCTCTTCAGCGCTCCCTGATCCTTGCAGCCATTGTTTTCTGCTCCATTTGTCACCATTTTTCATCAACATTTATCAGGTGGCCATTGGTATGGAAGCACTTAATACATGCAATGAAGAATTTTTAAAATGGCTAAACAAGCAGTGTAGCCTTTAGGGAACTGAGGAAGAGGTTAAACTGAACTAGTTTGGAATAACTATTTTCCCCCAAGTCATAGAGCAGTCATTGTGTAATTGACCTTAAGCTTGTTGTGATGGCCTGCATCTCCACTGAGATGGGAAATCACCTTCCAACTGAGGGTTTCTATTGTTGAGCGAAAAAAATAAATGGGCATTTTTTAAAAAATTCAAAACAGTCTGGGCTCACTTAAGATCCAGTAGTGTATCATTGCTCTCACAGGCTTCCTCCAGGGTAGACAGGCCACAGAGTGGGCATCAGGGGCTGAGGCTCAGTACTGAGGAGCTTGGCCATTGTGAAGGAGTGTAGGGCCCAGGGCGCACGTCATGCCTATGAATGACATCAGGTTTAGAGGAATATGCCCTCTGCAGAAATAGTCATTGGAACTTACTTCCCTGGCCTCTCAGGTATGTAGAAGAGGGAAACAGCGCCATCCTCATGGGCTGAACAACTAGATTAGAAGGCAGAATGAAGTCGTAATCTCATTGTATGTTGGTGTTATATAAGAATTTTTAAATCTTTTTATTCTTTACATTAACAGACTTTGTCTTCTTCTCTACCGTGCTTGTTTGTCTTTGTTTTGTCTTTGAGACAGGGTCTCACTGTGTAGTCCAGACTGGCCTTGAATTTACTATGTAGCCTAGGCTGGCCTTGACTCCTGACTCAGCCTTCTGAGTGCTGGGATTACAGACTTGCACCACCAAGCCTCTTTTCTAGCTTCTAACTTGAATGTGTTGGGCTACTTACTGAAAGGAATAACATCTAGCAATTTAAGTTTGGTTGTTCTGCAAGTACATACTGAGATGGAATTAGGAATGCAAATGGTTTATTGGGTAGCTACAACTGAAAGAAAAAAGTGTGGAATGTCAGGGGGACAAGGTCTGTGTCATCCCCACCGGGAACTTTAGAGCAGACTGCTCCAGAGTGGAGTCTCACACGCAGTGGAAATTGCTTGTCTCTGCATTGCCGTTGGCTGAGGCCAGGCAGCTCAGTCCCCAAAGGTGGAGAGATTTGAAGGCAGTAACAGCAGGAGCAGCTACCTACAGCTGAGAAGGGCTCTTTCCTAAAGTGGGATCTGAGCAGCTCATTTCCATGCCTGCCACAAAAGCATTCTAGTTTACAGAGTGACATCTACACAGACACAAAGCAAGTTTTCTGTAGGAGGCAGCAAACAAGCAAACCCAATCCCACATAAACTATGACTTTGTCACACTCTATGTATTCTAAAGATGTGTGATGTACAATGGTTGCCCATAATTATTCTGTGAGCCATTAGTCTTGATGTGTTGGAAAAGACATCACTTAGACTTCCTTGTTGATTTTAAGATTTTTGGTTTTATTATACTGTTGATTTTTTTTTCCCTTCATCTCTGCAAGGCTCTGGAGAAAAATCAGCAGTGGCTTGTGTATGATCAGCAGCGAGAGGTCTTCGTTAGGGGACTGTTAGCAAAGATCTTTGAGCTGGAAAAGAAAATGGAAACATCTGCTCCTTCACTCCCACAGCAGACAGAAAAGGCTGAATCAGAAGGTACTGACTGGTACAAAAATGTTCTTTTGGGATAGGAGTAACATTTCCCCAAAGGTGTGATTCATCACATTTAGATTTTTATAGATGTGTTAGAAAGTAAAATAAGAGGAAATCTTTTAATCTTGAAATAAGAAATACCATTTTGCAAGTCCGTTTCATTTCCTGTTTTCAGATACAAGCAAGGCACAAGTCACAGATTAGAGGGTCATCACTATATTTCCTCCACCTATGTCCTTCCTCTCCTTTAAAGGCCTGCCTCACTGTTATTTCCGCCAGAGCTGGCCTTGTTATCACTTATCTTTTTACTTTTCTTCCTTTCAACACTTACTCATATCAACCCCAGGAGAAAGAATACATGTTTTGGGTTTTTCATTTGTTTTGCTTTTTATTTTGAGACAGGGTCTCAATACATATTATAGGCAGGACTTGTGATCCTCCTGCTTCAGCCTCCTGAGTAGCTGGGATTACAGGTACACACTACCATATCTGGCTAAGAATTTTATAGATGATTCTTCAGTCATTTGAATCTCATCATGAACTTGAGATGATGTTTCCTACTCATACTGCTATCTTTGGGTCTAGTGCTTTGCAGTTTCCGTAACATTGATCTTGGTTGAGTTTGACAATTTTAAGAGGTGGAACAGGCAGAGTTCAGGTCAGTAGGCACATTTTACAGATGAAGAAATGGGTTTAGCAGTTCTAAGTGACAAACTGGGCAAAAATGAGAAACCTCCAAGCAAAGCACTGCTTAAAAGACTAGCAGCCCTAAGGGGAAAAATGCCTTGAATTCTATAAAAAGAAAGCTAAACTGAGGGGAGCTCTCCTCATCATCTTGCAGTTTCATGCTTGACTATTTAAAACAAAGCTAATGCTAAAAAGAAATGTGAAGAGAATGTCTCTAGAGATACTTCAAAGCTGTTTATCCCTAAAGGGACAGAGTTACTACACATTAAAATAAAATTTTCATTATAGGCTAAGTCTAACTTTTTTCTTTGGTAATACAGTACTATTTCTCTCTTACCCCCTTCTTTCCCTTTTCCTTCCCTTCATTTTTCTCAAAGTAACATAAGTACTTATTAATAATAGTACAGAAAAGCCTGCTCTTCCTATCCTATCCAATTATACTTCTGCCTTTGATTTTGATAATTATCTCCATATCTATAAATTATGAGCTGTGTCCCTATTTTCTGATTCATCTTTAGAAATCAGTAACTTTCTCTTCCCACAAAGTAGTTATATGATTGTTTTTTGTTCTTTTGTGTGTTTTATGACTTCAGTAATGTGCCCAAACTTCTGTTTCTTTCTTTTTTTGGTACCGGGGATCAAGCTCGGGTCCTTGCACTTGTGCAGCAGGCGGTGAAACCACTGAACTAAATCCCCAGCCCAAACTTCTGTTTCTTAATCTACCACATATCAGTCATACTTCCACCACCCCCAGTCTTCATTTTGTAAGCTAAAATAGTGGTTTGGTTTCATTTAAAGAAACATGTTTAAAGTTTACCTTCTCATGAATACCATCAATTTCATAAAATAAAATTTCATAAAATGAGTTTTGCCATAATATTATTTGTCATAGGTGATGTTCAAGAAGAGAAGCAAAAATATTACAGCCACCTCTTGGCAAATGCCAAAAAAGATCTTGAGGTTGAAAGACAAACCATAACTCAGTTGAGTTTAGAACTTAATGAATTTCGAAAAAAATATGAAGAAGCTCAGAAAGAAGTTCAAGATTTAAATCAGTTGTTGTGCTCACAAAGAGAGGCAGAACTACAACATCTGGAAGATGACAGACATAAAACAGAGAGAATAGAAAGACTCAAGGAAGAGAATAGTATTGCCAGGGGAAAACTCGAAGAAGAGAGGAAGCGATCTGAAGAGCTTTCATCTCAGGTAAGCAGATCCACTCAAGTTCTCCATAGTTCAGAATGTAGTTTTCATGGAGCCCTTGCCCGGACCAGGGACTATTTTAACCATTAGGGGGATAGCAAGGAACAAAACAAATTTCTGACCTCTTGTGAGAGTTTATAGCCTATAAAGAACTACCTAAACAATTGAATAAATGAAAAAAAATAAAACAGGGTGATGTGGTAGAGAAATTAGGGGCTCGTGGAGGCCTCTGAGAAGAGATGGTATTTGAACAAAGACTTGATGACAAGAAGGAACCAGCAAGGTAACTTTCTGTGGAAATTCCTTTCCAGGAGAAAAATATGCATATATAAGGGTTCTGAGAGAGAAGAAAGTAGGTACGTGTGAGAAGCTAAAAGAAAGTGAGGAATCCAGGCTGGTTTCTAGGCTGGCATCTTTACTGTGCTGATGATGTGCTCCATTGAATTCACACAGCACCTTCCATATTCTCATTACACTCACAGCTTTCAGCTAGGATGCCTTAGTAATGTTGATGTTACTAAATTAAGATTATTAGAACTGAATAACTGAATACTACTTTGATAAAATAATCATTAATTTAAATTTTTCTTGGCAGCATAGAGTCCACACCTGGTCTCCAGCTCAGGATGTATAGCCTTAGGCAAATCACCTGCCTTCTGTGACTCAAAAGTTATTATTTGCTGGTTAAATAAATAATAGCCTTTCCTTCCCTCATCAGGCTTTTGTAATGCAGGGTCAATTGAGGATCTGTGAAAATGCTTTGAAAACCAAATAAATATCAATGTTAGTTATTGCTACTGTTATAAGGATAATTTTTCAACTCCTCCAGAAGTTGAGAGATCTTCTTTATTGCTTTTGGGAAAGATCAAGCAGAAATGATTACTTTGCTCCAACTCTGCAGCTAGGGAGGTGAGGCACCGCCCACTTTGTTATCCCTGTCTGAAAGGATAGCAGAAGTCAGAAGCTCCAGAAAAGGGAGTGTGACCACTTCAGAGCTCAGTGCTGTTTGTGGATGGTCAGTCGGTTGGCTTAGAGAGCTCACACGGAAGTTTTGCTCTCTTGCTTGTGGATGGAGCTGTCTAGGGTGAGTCACCCGCCTTGCAGGTGCTGCCCTGATTAGAGATGTGACTTGTGTGGTAAGCGTGTCATGCAGCCCATGTTGAGGGAAGAAGGGCCAAGTGAGACAACTCTGGGTCTCTTTGCATTCCACAGGTCCAGTTTCTTTACATGTCTCTGTTAAAGCAGCAAGGGGAAGAAACAAGAGTGGCTCTGTTGGAACAACAGGTATTTGCTGGAGTTGCGTCTAAATTCACTTTGGTCTATTAGAAAATGAACTTTTTTCTTGTGTTTACACTGTTCTATGGAGAACTATTTGAAAGTTGTAAAAAGTGTCCTGAAAAGGCTTTAATAAAGCACATTTCAAAAAACTGTACTATTCATATGTTCCTGGTACTGTCTTACACTAAATGAGATTATTTGGGGTGTGATGGCAGTTTTCTTGGCCTTGGCAAATTTTGTTCTTCCCCAGTGGCTGTAGTTTCCATTCTAGCCAAACAAGTTCTCTGAATAGAGCAATCTTACACCTTCAAGCAGAACTCAGAGAGAGACACCATTTATTCTCAGAACACACAGCAGAGTCTTAGTATATTCTAAACTGGGTAGTAGCCACATCTTTCCCTTCTTCCTCTCTCTCCCACAAAAAAGAGGATTAGGGAAGACTATTTCCAGCAGCAACTTCCTAAATTACTCTTCATTCCCCTTGGGTTTGCTTCTTGGATATACTGAGTCCTCACCATAAATTCCATTTATTAACATCTTCCTGTGCTCAGGTAAATTCTTGTTATGATGATACAAATCTTGTGCCAATAAAAAAGATCAAGTCAAGAGAACTAGGCACACTACCACTTGTCTTGTTCTGGGTATTTTCCAGATGCAGTCATGTACTTTAGACTTTGAAAATGAAAAACTTGGCCGCCAAGATATGCAGCACCAATTGCATGTAATTCTTAAGGAACTTCGGAAAGCAAGAAGTCAAATAACACAGCTAGAATCCTTGGTGAGTTTGGAATGACTAACCTAAAACTTTCCTTCTTCTTTCTTTTTCTGCCATCTTTGCATTTATACGTCAAATCAGTTCCCAAACCATGATGATACAGCTTAAAGAGCAGCTAGCTTTACTCCAAATCAGTAGGCAGTCCCCTGCCTAGCTTCAAGCATCTTCCTTTAGAGCATCAATTCAGAGTTCAGAAAGAGGGACATTATGTACCTCTTGGTAATAATTGCATCTGTATCTGCGATCATTCCCCACTCGTCCCAGATATTATGATTCTTGAGGTATTAAACAGCACCAGGTTTAGGAGAGAGGGGTGAGAAAGGTGAGAGAGGGCGATAGAGAATCCTGACCTGAGGATGAGAGAATGAGAGAGAAGTTGTTGGCTGTTTTAGGGATAGTGGGTTATTATTGTTAATAGGCTCTTAAAGTATATTATGAGTTAAGCATATTTTTGAGTTGCTCTGAAAACAGTCTTTTAAATGATAAACCTTTTAAATAAAACAGTTTCTATGAGGAAGTAATTTTTTAGCTATTTTTATTTTATTCATAAGTTTTTAGACTAAGTCTGTTAGTATGTGTATGTGTGTGTTTGTCCCATATTGTCCTAGGACTGCAAAATATTTGGAGATGGTGAAATGTTGTAAATATAACTTCACCGAGCACAGTGGCACACACCTATAATTCCAGCACTTGGAAGGCTTAGACAGGAAGATTGTGAGGTCAAGCAAGAGCCTGTCTAAATAAATAAATAAATAAATAAATAAAGTAATTTGTAATTTCTATATGAATAAAAGAAACAAAATATAAATCTGGCTCTATTTAGTATGCCATTGATTTTGACCGTTTATAGCAGTGATAGTGAACCTTTTAGAGCTTTCAGTGATAACAGCCTGCTGTGGCACACATGCCATAGGTTTCCCTCCACTGATTTATAATATTTGAAATTAAAGGTTAGAATCATTTCTGTTAATGATCATTTTCAAAATATAGGAAGCCAGAGGATATAAAAGAATTTGCAGTTTTTCTGTGCTTTTATTTATGTTCCTATTGTACGTTGTCCTCATAGGTGTTGTAAAATACCTATTTTTGAGCTTTCTTGATTATTCTAAGTTATTCAGGAGAAAGCATGAAAAAGGAAAGCCTCAAAAGTATTATACAATATCTTACCCATTTCTGTGTATAATCTGTTTGATCTGTTACAATTCTTAATTCTATGTAGTTTTTTATTGCTGAAGATGCCCCTGTTTTACAAAACTAACAAATTTAGTGAGCCTAGCACACAGGCTTGCCCTTTACATCTTACTCCAAGTCTCTTAATAAAACCCGTCTACATGAACTCCCAAGTTGATACTTTCCTGGGCAATTTGAGTAATTATAGTAATTATCTCAGTAATTTATAACCACCTCATATGTTACTACCAAAATATTGATGAGTAGAGATTAAAAAAAAAATGTCTGCTAGCACCGAAGCAGCTAAGGAATTTATGAAACAGTTAAAATTGGTGAACAATGGGTCTGATGTACAAATGGTATTTGATGAAAATTTATTTTTCAGAAGCAACTTCATGAGTTTCCCTTCACAGAGCCATTAGTCACTTTCCAAGGAGAGACTGCAAACAAAGTTAAAGTTGCCTCACCAAGAAGTCCCACTGCTGCACTAAACAAAAGCCTGGTGGAATGCCCCAAATGCAACGCACAGTATCCAGCCACTGAGCATCGAGATCTGCTTGTCCATGTAGAGTACTGTTCAGAGTAGCAAAATGGTTATTCTTTGTTTTTATGCCAAAAGATTTCATACTCTATCTTCTGTTTGCTCATGGATATTTCCAATTACATTTCCCACCTCTGGCTTAAGAAGCTGCCTATCTGCCTTTGACACTCTGGCGTGTGAATGAATCGTTGTATTTTTTAGCTGCTTTGCATTTTCCTTGGCAGTGATACCTCCACGGTATTGCTCATCATCAGGCTGCAGTGACAGAATGTGGTGAGCAGTTTGTACTGAGACTACTAATGTTTTGCATGGTTAAAGTACTTGATAAAGAAAAGGTAGTTCAGGTTGTTGCTTGTGGGTTAAATCTGTTGTACCAGCAAGCAAATATTTTGTATTATGTGGGTTTTTTAAAAATCAAAAGTAATTAATTGTGTTGACATTTTTATCTAAGATGCTAGTGTAGCAACAGTTCTAATTTTAATGACCATGGGTTCATTTTTTTCCTGGCTATTTTACACCAGTTAATAGAAATGTTGGGAATTTTTATAATCTTTATTGCTGCTTGCTGTTGAAACTATAAACCCAGCTATATGCTAAGAGAAAAACTAATTCTGCATGAGAAATACTCTTAGTAGCCACATGCAATGTTTTCTCTCATAGTGTCTGGCTTTAACTTTTAACCTAAATTTCATTAGCACACATTGGTTAGCTAAAATGGCTAAAATTGAAAACCATCTAGCCTTCTTTGATTTGCAGATATTTTGTTTTTTTATTATTTTTGGCACTCCTACATCTGGGCAATGTAATTATTAAATATTTGTTTTCTGAATAGATATTTTTATATATGCTTTGTATAAAAAAAGTTTTTTAAATTCAGATTTTCACTATGCTTAACACTGGGCTACTGTTAACAATATAAAAGAGAAAAAATAAAATTATTTAATAACTTTTACTGTATCTAGTATATATGTATATGTAGTAGCTATTCTAAGGTTTCTACCCCAAGAGGAGGAGTGTTGGAGGTTCCAGATTAACATATATTGTAAGATGATAATGTAGTTGAGGAAATAGGAGGACCAGCAACTCTGTGACGGTGGCAAAAGGACTAGATAAATGCTTGTAGGCATCTCTGTTGAAGACACCAATTCTTGATCAATAAAGATGATTTTTTTTACTTATTCATTATAAAGGCAAAATAATAAACATGCTCAGTCATATACTTGGAGGTCTTTTGACCTTGGAAATTATACAGATCTATTATGGAAATAAAATTTTTCCTTTATTGTTAATAATCCCAGGTTCACAATATCTTCAGCCATAGCTGGACAAGAGATAGAACTAAAGATAGATCTTTAGCCAGATGATTCTTGTTATTTTGAAGACCACAGTATTTAATTATACCATAAGTATTTCATTATATGCCATAAGGAAGTTGTTCCCCTTGCAGTTTTTAAGTAGACCAGATATTATTTCTAGTCTGTGGACATGGAAAATGCCTTGGTCATTGACTGGGTAGTGAAGTCAGAAGCAGAGGCCAGGCCTTTGGTCTCTGTCTGTGTGGATCAAGGGGTGGGACGACTGGCTAGGACACAACCATAAAAGAAGCTCAGCCTGACAACCCCAGAGTCTGATTACTGGAAATGAAGGGTGATCTAGAGTTTGTTTCAAGAGCCTCACTTTCTATGATTCACTAGAGGGCTAGAGTTAGGTGCTTTCCCTGCCCACTTCAGCCACCAACATCCCAGTACCAGTATCAAAAATATACTTTGGAAAAATATCAAGAAAATTGGACACTTCTGCCATGAAGCTCTCTCCACATACAGGGGCTTTTATACATTTCTGATTAACAGTAGGTAGTTTAGAATAGGAAGAATTCTTTCCTACCTCATTTACTGAAATAAAGGGTATCTCAATAAAGGGTATCTCTCAGACTTGAAAATTTTTAAGGTTCTCATAATTAAAGACCAAGTTTTCTTCTCTTGTCCATCTTTTTTCACAGCAAATAAGCACCTACCCTCGGGGTGTGTTTGGGTGTGGGAGTCTAAACTGTGTACCAGAATGTGCTAGATATTTAATCTACCTGTACTCACTAGCTTTTCATTGCAATTCTGTGAAAAAAAAGTGCTAGAAGCAGCTGTTTTTCAAATGAGAAAGCTAGGATTTACGGAGATTAAACAATTTGCCCACAGTTACCACTAATGAATGGCAAAGAAGGGATATAAACTCAGCTCAGTGTGTCTCAACTAGAGAGTCTGTTTCTCTTTTTCAGTGTTACAGTATTCCCTACCAGCAAATACTGAGTCTGCTGTGCCAAGATTCTTTCTTTTTATTGCTTTCTTTTTGAATATTTTACACAATAAATTGTACAAATTAAGGAGTTTTGACAAATATATACATCTTTGTAATCGTCTGCCAAATACAGTTTTAGATCATTTCTATTATCATCCCTGGAAGTTTATTTCATTCTTTTTCTAGTTGAGAATCTCCTCAGAGACAATCTGATTTCTATTGCCATAGATTAGTTTTACGTGTTCTTGACATTTATGTAAGTGGAATTATATATTTGTCTTTGGCTTCTTTGAATCATCAGTGCTTGGAGACTCTTCTATGTTGTGTGTATAAGTAATTTGGTTTTTTTAATAGCTGAATAATATTTCATTGTATAAATACACCATAATTTGGTATTCCATTCTTGGTTGAGGAGGATGTGTATTGTTTCATATACAAGTTTTTTGTTTTGCTTTTTTGTTTTTTTATGGCACAGGGAATGGAAACCAGAGCCTCATACACACTAGGCAAGCACTCTACCACTGAGCTATACTCTAGTCCCTTACACAAATACTTTTGTGGACCTGTTTTCATTTCTCTTAAGGAAACACTTAGAAGTGGAATTGCTGGGCCACAAGGTAGGTGATATTTATATTTTTATTGAAAACTGTCAAAGAACCAGACTGAAGAAATTAATTTCTTCAGTGTACCTTCACGAGACGAAACCATGTAATATAAGGGTGAACAACTTTGCCATAAACCTAACAGTGAGTTCCGTGCCACTGACTTAATATCTTTCCATGTAGGTGAAAAACTTCAGGCCCAGAGCCAACTCCCTAACCCTCAAGGCAGGCCACATCCCATCTTCTACAGTTCTGGTTTATCCTAGAATACTTTTGAAAGTGAGGGGCACCTCCCCTGACAGGGGCCTGGTTTGTAACTTAAATGAGTCAGGCAGGCCAACTCCTGGCTGTGAGGCTGGAAGAGCTGCCCAGCTCTAGCCTGTGTCCAAGGACAAGGAGTACAGTGTGGCTGATCTTTCAGATTTTCCAAGAGAAACCTGGAATTCTTAAATAAGAAATCTCCCAATTTTTAAATGTCAGAAACTAATTTTAACAGTGTGGGCCAAAACATACTTCTAGTTTATGATCTTTGGGGTGCCTGAATGGGAGAGAAGAAAGAGTGACTTGCTCAGTCTGAGAGATGGAGCGAAAACCCAAGGAGTGCTCTCAGTCGTTGCCTGCTCTCCTAGCACTGAGGTGTCCCTGCTTCCAGCTGCACTGAACAGGTGTTATCTGGGTGACATGGAGAATATGACCCTCTCTGACCTTTCCCTTCCATTTACCATCTGGCTGCTTCTAAGGGCTACAGTTCTTGGACAAAGCTGGCTGATTACCTGCATTCCCTGGTCATCTTCTGCTCCCCCGAGCTAACAATGGAGGGAATGACAAGGCTGCAAGGGAATTGACTGCAAGACCAGTGTGTTTTGTCTAGGAAATCCCCTCACCCTTGTGGGTTCTTGGAAATGATTCTTGACCTCCACATCTCCTCCATCAGAATATCTGATGATTATGTTAGAACATTCTGGTGTATTACCAGATAGGGAACTGTGAATCGAATCCAACCCTGACTTAGGGATACAGTGGAGTCCCAGAGAGAGGAGTGACTTTCCTGAGGTTACACAGTGAGCTTGCAGGAGTGCCAGAGAGCCTGAGCTCTCCAGGGCACCAGTTGTTAGAGCCCCTACCATCTTGGCCTGTGTGCCATGATTTCAGCCACAGTACTCATTTCCAACATCCCTAGTGGTTTGTTTTCCTATGGCAAGTCTAGTGGTTTATAGGCTGGTTTTCTTTTTCTTATTCTTTGTGCTCTCTACTTTAGATTCTGATGATATTTTGGCTTTGGATGGTTGAGTGGAAAATAGCCCAAAGGGAGTCTCCCATCTGCTGTCTAGAAGTAACAGCCAAACAAAGGTAAGGTCAGAACCAAGTGAGGGGTTTGCACAGAATACAGAGAGGACTAAGCCAGGGGTAGTATCTCATGGTCGGGAAATAGGTAGGAAACTTCAGAGTGAGCATAGTGTCACCCAAACCAAGCAACCAGAGGTAGAATAGCATACACACACACACACACACACACACACACACCACACTAGCATCTGGTGATGACCTTTATCTTGCCTGCCTGACTCACTGTATTAACTCCAGCACATCTCCCACTAATACATTCTAATAAGTGTTACAGGAGGTTTGCATCTGGAATGTCCCTAAAGGCCCATATGTTAAAGGTATGCTCCCCCAGAGTGGCACTGTTGGGAAGTGTGGAAACTTTAAAAGGTGAGGCCTAGTGGGAGGTCTTCAAAGGGGACCCTGGTCTTTCTCTCTTTTTTCACTTTTTGGCCATGAAGTAAGCAGCTTTCCTCCACTATATGCTGCATGCTATGATGTCCTACCTAACCCCAGTCTGAAAAATTTCAGATCATGGACTAAAATCTCTGAAAACAGCTGAAATAAACCTCTCTGTATAAGTTGATTATCTCTGGTATTTTCTCTAGTGATGAAAAACTGACTAACATTTCCTGAAGAAATCCACCCAAATACTTGGTTAGAATATACCAAGCATTGATCTCATCATTTGAGTCAGAAGTATTTAACCTGTGTACAGCAGGCAAGATGCTGTGCAAGCTCTAGAGATGAGGAGAGAAAGGCAGAGCATGCCTTCAACAGAGCTATGACTAGGCAGACATTAAGGTAGATCAGCGACAGCACAGTGACAACAGTCGCCCAAGACAGAGAGGACAGACTTCAAATGAGGTAATGATTGATTTGTTTTCTTAGATTCAAATTTTAACAGTGTATGTTGCAAGTGAATTCTTAAGCAGAGCTGAAAGAAAACTTGGCCATTGGTATATTCGTCACTTTCTGATGTAAAGTCTGAGGCTGCAAGGAAGTGCAGTACTATTATGGGCCCAGGTTGCAATCCAGTGAAAGGTGTTCTCCATTTCCTGAGTAACTTGAGGTTGACAGTTACGTAGCCTCAAAGGTAAAGAAAGCAAACTTGCTCTATCAGAGGAGACAAAGATTTTGATCATTAAGAAGAAAAAAACTTGGAAAAAAGCCACTTTGCTGTTTGATTCACAAATTATACAGAATAGCACATGTGCTGTCTTGCATGGACGGTGAAGGTGTACCTTTTCACTTGATTTTTATAAGGTGAGGGGTAAATGGAGGGGGAGAGTATTAATAAAAAACCTTCCAAAATATAACATTTATCATTATAACTGTAACATTTGTTGATTAAATTTAAATCTGTTAATGAATTTAACCATGTGATGCTACATGTGACATAATTCTCTTAAAGGAGTGAATTTTATGGAAATGATTCTCTTGTTCTAAATCAAAAAGGAAGCACTTCAGGTTTTAAATTTTCTTTTGTTTTACATCTTTGGCAATGTTACTGTGGAAAGAACTTGGACATGAGAACCACCACCCCAGGCTGAAACTCTGGTTCTAACATTGAAGAAGTCACTTAACCTCTCTATACTTTCTCTACACTTCCATTTCCTCAGCTCCAAAATAGGACTAGCAATGCCTGCCCCAGCTATCAAAGGATGTTATGGAAATCAAAATCCAATTTATTTCAGGGGCCCCTGTGTATTAAGTGTGTTAATGTTCCAGATATGTTAGACACTTCTTATGTGTCATCTCATTCTTACAGTATTGTTATATTAAAGATTCTATAATTGTTCCCTTTTACAGATGAGAAAGCTGTGTTTGGAGAGCTTAAGTCACTGTTCAAAGTGACAAAAAAGAGTGGCAGAGTTAGTGTGTGA